CCGAAACATTAACTTTCCTGCTCCTCTGATGCTGCCTGGCCTGCTGTGTTCCTCCAGCTCCACACTGTGTTATCTCTGACTCCAGCATCGGCAGTTCTTGCTGTTTATCGGAATTTTGTTGGGTTTATTGCAGTCCAAACTCAGCAAGCAGGAGGTATATAAATTGTATGAAGAGAAGAATGATCGCATACATATTTGAAAATTTAGAAGTTCTATTTTTAACAAACATTGAGAAAAATATGCCTGTATGACTTTATGTGAGATGCACTGTGACCACTGATAAAGCTCTGAAAATTCTCATTACATGGCAATACACAAGTAGTAATGTAAGTGATACATTACAAAGGTTCATTGTAAAGGTTCATAAATTTAAGAATAACTCTTACTGCACAGGATTTATATTTAGGACACTAACACTGAGGCCATTAATAATGAAAGTGCTCCGTGTAGGGTAACAGCACTGACATACTCACACTTAGGCATGCCCAATACATGCATGCAGACATCACTTGGAGTGTAGCTGATATCCCATCCAAAGGTCTGTGAGCTACCAGTGCTACTGACCAATCCGCAGCACACAGTGTCTCATGGATCTGACGGATGTCAGTGTACCGTTTGGGTATCCATGCGCCATCATGTTGCATATAGCTGTGGAGAAACATGTTAGTGCAGCGATCATCACCTTGTGCCATCATATCGAAAACTGTATGAGTATTTCCACTGATGCAGAGAGGCTCATAAGATGTGAAGGAGGTTCTATTCCCTCATGCACCTGAGGACCTTCAGTGGAAGGGGGACAGGATGCCTTCGGTTGGATGTCTGCACATAGTACAGACATAAGAACGGACGATGAAAGCTAGCCCAGTAGAGTAGAAGCCTCTACAGCTTTGAAACTGCACAGGGTTATTCAGTGTGCAACACGCAGTAGAAGGTGTGGAGTCCTCTACAACTGGAGCTTTGGTTTCATCACACCTTACTACCTTCACTCCCATTATCATGGCTGTCTGCATTGGATCAACAAATAACAAGGGGCTCAGTAAAAAAGTCCTGCATTATAACACTGGACTCAGGCTTCCAGTCGCTCTTCGACCATCACCGTCTGCTTCCTGCCACTGCCAATTTGGACCCAGTTTGCCAAACTGCCCGGCATCCCATGGTCTCTAAGTTTCTTAACCAGTGTCCCACATGACACGCTGTCAGAAGCCTTACTGAAATCATGTAGACTATATCATTGCACTATGCTCAACTACACATCTAATTCCAAACAAAAACGGAAATTTCTGGAAAAGCTCAGCAGGTCAGGCAGCATATGTGAAGAGAAATCAGAGTTAACGAAACAGGTCCGGTGACCCTTCCTCAGAACTGATGGAGCTGGGAAAGTGTTGGTTTACTTATAGAAGATAGGGTGGGAAGAGTGGGTAAGGAGTAAATGATAGGTGGGGATAGAACCCAAAGAGAGAGAAGAAGAACTGGACAGACAAAGGAATGGATAATGATCTAGCTAGAAGGGTGAATAGCTATTAATGGGGACTGTTGGTGGCTGACAGTGGGTTCTGTGTAATAGGAGACGATGTGATAACAAGGCCTGGGGTGTGGGGCTAGGCCTAGGACATGGGAGAGTTCAAGCCGTAAAGTTACTGAACTTGATATTGAGTCCAGAAGGCTATAGAGTCCCCAAGTGGAAAATGAGGTGTTGTTCTTCCAGCTTGCGTGAAGCTTCGCTGGAGCACTGCAGCAAGCCTGAGATAGAGATATTGGACAGTGAATAGGGTGGTGTGTTGTTGGCAGGCAACTGGAAGCTCGGGGTGTTTTTTATAGCCAGAACATAGATGTTCTGCGTAGTAGTCACCCAGTCCACGCTTCGTTTCCCCAATGTAGAGGAGATCATATTGTGAGCAGCGAATGCAGTAGACTAGATTGTGGGAAGTGCAGGTAAAGCACTGCTTCATCTGGAAGGTATGTTTGGGCTCTTGGATACTGAGGAGGAGGTAAATGCGCAGTGTTACACCTGCTGCGGTTGCAGGGGAAGGTGGCGTGGGCTGTGACGGAGTGTTGGGAGTGAAGGAAGAGTGGACAAGGTGGTGGACTAGGGTGTCCCAGAGGGAACAGTCCTTGCGGAAGGTGGACAAGGGAGGAGAGGGGAATATGTGTTTGGTGGTGGCATCCCGCTGGAGGTGGCAGAAATGGCAGCTAATGATCCGCTGGATGTGAATGTTAGTGTGATGATTAGGTAAGGAGAAGGAGAACCCTTTCATTGTTGTGGGAGGGAATAGAGGGAGTGAGGGCCAAAGTGTGGGAGATAGGTCGGACCCGGTTGAGGGCCCTATCGACAATGGTGCTGGGGAATCCTCAGTTGAGGAACAAGGTGGTCATTTCAGACTCATCATCGGAACATATGCGACGGAGATGGAGGTACTGGGAGAATGGGATAAGTCTTTACAGGAAGCAGGGTGTGAGGATGTATAATCTAGTTAACTGTGGAAGTCGGTGGGTTTATTTTGGATATTGGTGGCCAGTCTAAACCCAGAAATGGAAACAGAGGTGTTGAAGAAGGGAAGGGAGAAGTCAGAGATAGACGAGATGAAAGTGAGGGCGGGGTGGAAATTGGAAGCAATATCGATCAACTTTTCCAATTATGGATTAGAGAGGGAAGCAGCACCGATGATATCATCAATATATCAGATAAAAAGTTGTGGGTGGAGGCTGGAGTAGGACTCGAACAAGGAATATTCCACGTACTGCACAAAGAGACAGGCATAACAGGGGCCCATGCAGGTACCCTTGGCCAGTTCTTTGACCTGAAGAAAATGAGAGGAGTTAAAAGAGAAGTTGTTCAGAGTGAGGACGAGCTCGGCCAAGCGGAGGAGGGTGATGGTGGGTGGGGACGGTTCAGGCCTTTGTTCCAAGAAGAGGCGGAGACCCTGAGACCATCCTGGTGGGGGATGGACATGTAAAGGGATTGCACGTTCATGGCAAAGAGGAGGTAGGTGGAACCCGCAAACTAGAAATTCTGAAACTGGCATAAAGTGTCAAAGGAATCATGGATGTACGTGTGCAGGTACTGGACCAGCAGAGAAAAGACCGAGTTAAAGTAGGAGGAGATGAGTTCTTTGGGCAGTCCTTTTTGTGCATTGTCAGAAGGAGGTAGAAGCGAGCTGTGCAGGGCTGGGGTATTATCAACTTGGAGGCAGTGGGGGGGGAAGGTCACCAGATGAAATGAGATTAGTGACCATTGTTGATATAATGGCCTGGTGTTCCATGGTGGTGTCATGGTCCTTGGAGAGATTGGAGGAGGTATCTGAGAGCTGGTGCTCAGCATCTCCAATGTAGAGGTCAGTGCGCCGCACAAAAACAGCACTACCCTTATCGGCAGGCTTAATTTCAAAGTCAGGGTTGGATCTGAGCGCATGGAGTGTAGTCAGTTCGGGGGGAAATAGGTTGGAATGGGTGAGAGGGTGGAGAAATTGAGGTGACCAATGTCACACCGACAGTTCTCAATGAACAGGTTGAGTGTAGGTAGAAGGAGGGGAATGCGAAGACAGCGGAAGAAAAGTTTGATGTCATGTCTCGCCCAAAATTCATTAAAGTGGGGACACAGAGGGATAAATGTGAGACCTTTGCTGAATACAAAATGTTCAGCATCGGAGAGCGGTAGGTTAGGAGGGATGGTGGGTACGCGACAGGAGGTGGGGTTGGGGGAGTGGGTGGAGTCAGAGGGAAGGGGAGGAAAGGAAGGTTCCAGAGGGCCGTGGGTACCTCTGAGTTATTGCATCTTGATGCCTGAAAGGAAAAGAAGAAGTTTTCTAATTAACATGGTGAATGAGCAACACATTGTAATGATCTCTATGAAAAATTCAATCAAGTTTGTTGGACATGATTGTCCCTTGACAATGCCATGCTGATTATTTTTGATTAATCCTTGTTTCTCCAAGTGGAGTTTAATTCTATTTCTCAGAATGTTTTTCAAAAGCTTCCCTGCCACTGATGGTAGACTCATAGGCTTACAGGTTTCTCCCTCCCACCCTTCTTGAACAACATTCACTGTCCTCCAGTACCTTTCACGTTTCTGTTGGTTTGGAATCACGTGTAGGCTAGATAACGATGGCAGATTTCCTTCCCTAAAGGATCTTGGTGAGTCAGTTTAACAATTGATTATTGTTTCCTTGGTCCCCATTACTGAAACTAGCTTAATATCCCAGATTTATGCACTGAATTTGAAATGCACCAGCAGCTGTGACGGGATTTGAACCAATGTTCCCCCCGAAGTATTAGCCTTGGATTCTGGATTGTTAATCCAGTCATATTACTATGACACCCTAAGCTCCTTGCTCCCTGCTAGGCCTATGACTGACTTGAGTCTTGAGGCATCACACCTTCCCTTGGATCAATGGAAGGCTTCAGGACAACCAGCAACCTCAGTGTCACCATCCGTGGGAGTCCTGCACTTGACCTGACCGTCTCTACTGGCTCTTTCTCCACGGTAAACACAGAGGAAAAATATTCATTGAGGACCTCGCCCATCTCCTGTGGTTGCACACATGCACGTGCACTTTGGCCCTTGAGAGGTCCAATTCTCTCTCTAGTTATTCTTTTTCCTTTAATATATTTAAAGAATCTCTTTGGATTCACTCTAATCTTCTCAGCCAAAACTATTTTGTGCCCCCTTTTTGCCCTCCTGATTTCCTTCTTCAGTAAACTCCTGTATCCCCTATATACCTCCAGAGATTCCCTTGATCCCAACTGCCTGTATCTCAGTCATGCCTCCATTTTTCTCGTCAAAGCCTCAATATCTCTTGTCATCCAGGGTTCCCTACTCCTGCCAACCTTGCCCTTCACTCTCACATGAAGATATAGACCTTGAACCCTAGCTATCACACTTTTAAAGGCCTCCCATTTGCCAGAGGTCCCTTTACCTGCAAACAAACTTCTCCAATCAACCCCTGCAAGCACCTGTCTAATTCTATCAAAATTCGCCTTGCCCCAGTTTGGAACTTGAATCTGTGGACCAGTTTTGTCCTTCTCCATGACTATTTTAAAATTAATAGAACTATGGTCACTGGTCCCAAAGTGCTCCCCCACTGTCACCTCAGTCACCTATCCTGCCCTATTTCCCAAGAGGTCGAGTTTTGCTCCTTCCAGAGTAGGACCCACTATATACTGTTTGAAGAAACTTTCCTGAACACATTTAACAAATTCTACCCCATCTAAGCCCTTAACTCTATGCAGGTCCCAGTGTATCTAGGAAAGTTAAAATCCCCCACTATGACAACTCTATTTCTGCTGCAAGTCTCTGAAATTTCCCTGCATATTTGTTCCTCTAATTCCTGTTGACTGTTTGGGGGCCTATAGTACAACCCCAATAATGTCACTATGCCCTTCTTATTTCTTAGCTCCATCCACAAAGCCTCACTGGATGATCCCTCAGTTATTTTATCTCTGATTACTGCTGTGATAATCCCCTTAATCAAAAATGCAACTCCCCCTCCCCTCTTTCCTCCACCTCTGTCCCACCTAAAGCACCTGGACCCTGGCATATTAAGCTGCCAGTCCTGTCCCTCCCTTAGTCATGTTTCTGTCATGGCTATAATATTCCAGCCCCACGTACCTATCCACGCCCTGAGTTCGTCAGCCTTAACTGTTAGCCCTCTCACATTGAAATAGA